CATTAAATAAGTTAGCAATTTTTTCATGATCAGAAACAAGAAGTCCATTTACTGAGATTTGTGAATTGTTATTAAATGTTTTCTTGTTACTTTCACCTGTCACTAACTTAATCGTTTCCCATAATATTTTTGGATTCTTACTGGCTGAAAAAATTTGATTTTTAAAATAATGTTGTATGGCTTTGCGTAATTCAGCAACACATTTATTTCGGTAACTGTTCAAACAGGACTGATTTTCAGAAGTTTTTGATATTCTATAAGTTTTCATTGAAGGAGCTTTCAACTTTAGGAGATGTATTAGAGAGGCATTCAACCATGGAATTTTATTTTTCCAGACTTCTTATGCCTGTTTATTGTTTTAATACTGTTTTTCTTATTGAATTGTATCGTGAAGCACAGTTTTTATTTACTTTTTAAGATAAATGTGCTTGTAATGTACTTTTTGAGGACCTGGTTACATGATTTTCAGAGTTCCCACGGGTCCTTGAAATCCTTGAAAGTTTGTGAATTTGAAAAAATGATTTCAAGGCCCTGGAAGATTTGTGAAAACAGCCAAAAATTACACTTGTTCTTGAAAGTTCTTGAAAGTTTTTTGGGGATTGAAGTTCTCTATTCACATGACTGATTTTCATCATCTTTTAAAAAATAAATTATAAAATTTAATTTAAAAAAGTTACATTTGTTGTGGTGGAAAACTCAGGATTACGGTAAACTGATATTGTTTCTGACTCAACAACTTCTATGTTGTTCAGTTTTTCATTGAATTTACATGATATTAAAAAAGCCAAACTTTCTTCAGACACATTTTTCTTTGGTCTTTCACTTTTATTTCACTCCTGTCTTGTACTTGTGTAGCTTTTTTCCCTTTGCTTGTTTGTTTAAGACACTTAGCTCTGACCTCTGCATCAGTTAGGCATGTGAAGGCACTCTAACTCAAGAGGTGAATCAGTATTGTGTCAACACATAACATAACATAGACACTTTAGCAAAGAAGCATTTTATATTGTCTCATTAGGCACTTTACCAGAAACGTCAAAATGAAACTAAAGCAGAGTTTATAAAAATATCAAACACAAAATGACCTTTTAATTAGTAAATCAGCACAATTAAAATGAATTTATTGAGGTACATACAGGGTTTCCATGGGTCCTTGAAATCCTTGAAAGTTTGTGAATTTGAAAAATTGATTTCAAGGCCCTGGAAAGTTTGTGAAAACAGACAAAAATTACACTTGTCCTTGAAAGTTTTTTGGGGATTGAAATTCTCACTTCACATGATGGATTTCCAT